AACCTAAATTTTCAGATAAAATGGGGGGAGGGATAGCTCAGTGGTGTGAGCATTGGCCTGCTAAACCCAGGGTTGTGAGTTCAATCCTTGAGGGGGCCATTTAGGGATCTGGGGCAACAATCTGTCTGGGGATTGGTCCTGCTCTGAGCAGGGGGTTGGACTAGATGATCTCCTGAGGTCCCTTCCAACCCTGATATTCTATGATTCTATCTCTTCCCCCTCCCTTCTTGTTTAGGAGCACTGCCAGTGTAATATAAAGTGGCCTTAGTGTAAAAGAGATTCAGGCCTGCTATATTTAAAAATGTGATCCTAAATTCCAGTGCAAGGATCTGAAGCCTGGGAGATGGGGAAGCCTTCTTTTTCAAAACATGCAAATGTATTCAGATTTAAATGAATATAGATAAAGCCTGAACTTCTGTGGCTTCCTCCATGACTAACCTGTCTTTCCCTCTTCTTACTCTCACTGTATTTATCATATTTATTTTATAAAGCTATACTACCTCGCGGCTTCGTCTTCTGAGTTTCCAAAAACTTTCATTTGGCTTTTTAGTTTCCAACACACTTTGAGCCTGAAGAAAAGACTTTTTCTCATTTCAAATGAGCTGGTTTCAGTTCAGCGTTACAGATCACTGTCCAGTCCTTGTCTGACAAGGAACTGCAGTGCCTTGCTTCTTTTTCTCTGCATCAGGAAACTCCCCATTCCCTGTGTCTGACCTAAAATAATCCATTTTTCTTTTCTGCTTGCTGCAATCACCATTTTCTTCTTTAATAAAAATTTTTAGGCCCCTTTCATTCCCAGTTAAAAATAGTTGCTGCATTGAATTGCTTCAAACTCATCCATTCCTAAATATTAAGAATATATCCATTCTTCATTACCAACGGTGATAGTGGTTTATTTTTCCCACCCCATCTCTGAAAGTAATTTTTGTTGCCAGCACATGTAAGCTGTGTGAACCAGTAAAGAGTATCTTGTGGCACATCAGAGCTTCAAAGATGACACTACAGATCACACCTTTCAAAAAGTGCCACATTATCCAATGGAGATCTTAGAATACATCTCAGTCACACAGGTGCCAGTTGCTGTAGCTTAACTACAAACTTTCTATTCCCAATATAGTGTAAAGGTAAGCAGGGGAAGATGTCAGCTCATTAACTGATCGGAGGAGGGCTTCTGGGGGACAGAGAAGCATGCTAGACAGTAGTTTAAAATTAAAAAAAAAAATTATTGAAATTTTATTTTAAAAAGGTGGTAAAATAAATACAGAAAGGTACAAAATACTTAGTCTAAAATGTTCAGAGATGCCGAGCACGCTGGTCTGCCATAAAAATAGTAGGAACCAGGGGTGCTCACTGCCTTTGAAAAGATGACCCCACATTTAGGTGCCTAAATGTGGAGTTAAACCTGAAAATATTGGCCTTTTTCTGGGGTATGTAGCTTTCCAGATGGTAGGAAATTGTATGGTCCTGATTATTTTCAATGGTTAATGAGTGAATTTGGTGTGAGTCAATTTATATTTGTGTGTTTTAAAAGGACATTTGAGTCGGTGCTTGAATATTGTGCAGCATTGTGTTAACGTCTCTGCTCTTCCCTGGAAAGCTGCACTTGGTGCACTCACGATTGCTAATATGGAAGGGCATCCATATCCTGCATGGTACTTGCTCCCCTTGGCACATTGCTATTATGTAAATACAGTCCTATCCCATTGAAACATCTGTGGATGCAGAAAGCAGAACAGACAGAATTTACCTTCATCATTCTATTGCGTGTTAGTGGACAGTGTGTTCCCACCTATGCAATGAACAGTAGTTGCATGCCAAAACCCACAGATGGAGCTGCAAGAAGCCATGATCATCCATATGACATTCCCCAGGTCTCAAAATTCCCCTTCAGCTCCCCAGGACAGCTGTTTAATGGGGGCTACCTCACTATGGTCAGGGGCTCTGTGAAAAGGTCATCTCCTCTGAGTTGCCAGTCTCCTAGTAAACTCTGTGGAGGGGTGCCATCAATTCCCCAGCTTGTGAGCACTGACTTCCTGTCCCAGGTCTGCCCAATTCCTATACCAGCCCCTCCATCATTCACAACTTCTGACCCCACAGAGGGCTCCGTCCAGTGTTCCAGATTTGAGTTTTAGGTGAGAAACTGAAGTAGTTTGACTGTGAAATGTTGGTGCAGTGCATAATGGGAGTTACAGTTCAGGTGCCTCTTGCTCACATTCTACTCTGTTGGCTTGGCCCCCTGGTCAGACTAACTCACTGATGAGGCACCAGGGTTTCCCTTTTTGGTGAGAGGAGGTGGCCCATCATGGAACTTCCATGGCTCTAGTGCAGAGGTAGGCAACCAAAGGCGGCACACGAGCTGATTTTCAGTGGCACTCACACTGCCCGGGTCCTGGCCACCGGTCCGGGAGACTCTGCATTTTAATTTAATTTTAAATGAAGCTTTTTAAGCATTTTAAAAACCTTATTTACTTTACATACAACAATAGTTTAGTTAAATATTATAGACTTATAGAAAGAGACCTTCTAAAAACATTAAAATGTATTACTGGCACGCGAAACCTTAAATTAGAGAATAAATGAAGACTCGGCACACCACTCCTGAAAGGTTGCCAACCCCTGCTCTAGTGTATCAAGGGAGACGAAGTATAGCTCAGGAGTTTGACACATACAGGAGAATGGGAGCATGAGTTGCCCGAACAACTCCCATGAGGCATCGTGGTGACCTTTCACAATAACACTATTTTTGTTTTCAGCTGAAAAATTGTTTTGGGGGCATTCAATTTTTCAACATTTTCTATAAAAAGCAGATACTTTTTGTGAAATTTTGTTTAGTTAAATCCAATTTTAGACTGTTCAGACAGAACAATTTTGATCAATCTCAAAACTTGTGTATTTACTGTTTTTTTTTTTTTTCTTTTGAATCAAATGAGAGTTGTGGCGAAGAGAATGAGAGACTATTTGGATGCATCCAATGGTGGGGTAATGTGTCCAAGGTTCAGGAAAGAATTAGTCCAAGGTTTGAGAAACCAAGATTTTCATATTAAGTTACATGCATACAAAAAAAGGTTAGCCTGGCTTGGAGAAGATATAGAGACCTGAACACCTGTGAACTTCGAAGCTGATCTAGACTTTGTATCTCTGGTCCATTTCTATAGGGTCTCCACATCAGGCCCCTCAGAACCTCCATGACCAACCAATCCTCTTCTGAGCCCTGTAATAGTATCTTTCCCCACCTACCCTGATCTGGTGTTATCTTGAGGGAGATAGGCCACTTGACTTCTCTCTCCATCTGGTGACATTTGAAGGTATAACACTTCCCCTTCCTCCTCAAGCCTTTGGGAACAGTTTTAAAATAGTTTCTGCTGCCTCTGCTGAGCACATGAAGTAGTGTCATTCAATGAAGGATCCCTAAGAAATGCCATGTGACTTCAATGCTTGTGTCAAAATGCAATGGTCCAGCTCAAGTCTGAACATTCTTGAGATGAAAATGCATCAGAACTTTCATTCCCATCCCAATAATAGTAATTGTGCCCAAACTCAGCTTTTGCTGCTGCAAAACATGTAGAGAGTGCCATATTTTACAGCTGCTTTTCAAACTTGACGAAGGATAATGTCAGTGTAAAAGTCATCCCCAAATTAAACACAAACATCTTTAGTAGTAACCCATTTCTCAGAGGATTTTTCAGCAGGTATGATTTTTTGCAATACATCTTCTATTTTTTTTTCTTTAGGAATTAGAGCAGTTCCTTCAGCTTTCTGTCAGGGAGTCCCAGTCCTCATTAAGCAATGCAGCTGCTGGTCTTCATAATCCCTCCAAGTTGGTATTCTAGCTCCTCCTGGAGATTTTAAAATCTGTTTTGTGTTGGGGTGGTTTTTTGTTTTTGTTTTGTTTTTTAGTCTGCAGCAGTGTCAATGGGGACCTACTTCGGCACCTTTCTGGATAGAGGAATAATGACTCCACATACAGCAGCCACAGTCAGTGTGATTCTAAACTATGTGGAGCCTAATAACAACCTAGCATCACCTCCATCCCTTGGGGGGTTGCCCCATCACTTAAATGAGATTTGAAAACTGAAGTTCAGCAGAAGGGACATCTTCTGCAGAGAAGACAAAAGTTTCAGTCTTGTAATGCATTTCTTCCCTCAGTATTCATTTACTTGACTCCTGCTTCTTGTCTGCCATTGTAAGCCCTTACAGCGATCCTCATTACTCCGGCTGAGCCATTCAAAGGCCAGAGTCCCCTACTGATCAGCTGAGTATGAGAGCAGTGACTCAGAGCCTGGGAGCTAACCTCTGCTCGCCCTGGAGCTATTGTCTTGAGTGATCTCTTCAGCTATGAACGCTAAAAATAAAGAGTCACCTATTGTGGTCTCAATCGGCCTGATTCACAGTCGTTTACACCAGAGCAAAGTGGGTGTGACAGGCTGTATTCTGAGTTCAATAGCTCCTTTACAAGCATGTGGCCCCGATGTAAATGGCCACAAGATGCAGAGCAATGGAAAATCGTGCCTATTGTCAATACGCTTGTCTGAATACTATGACTTTTTCCAGTTGATAGGAGGTGGAACTGAAAGGCAAAGTGACAAATGCTATTGAAGAGGAGAAGGTTATTAAAAGCACCTGCTATCGGTCAATGCGGGTTAGAAACAGTAACGAATTAAGCTTGACTATACCACGAGGAGGGTGGTATCATCCCCATTGTATAGGAAGGGAAACTGAGTCACACTGGGGCGCAGCACCTGGGTCAAGGTCAAAGTGAACTGGAGCTAGGAAAGCCCCTGGTTCCTAGTCCTGCCCTTCCGTCACATTGGATGTGGGGCTGGCTCTAGCTTTACCCAGCCCTGCATAAAAACGGATTGTCACTCGGCGTTCTGCTCAGAAAGTGCTGCTGACGGATCCTCTGTCTGGCTCGGGCTGCGGCTCTCTGACCCCTCTCCCTCCCCTCCCACCCGCCCTACCTGGCTCTCCTGGAGAGGGAGCGCCCGCCTGGCGGCGTGCGGGACTCACTCCTCCCCGGCTCCCAGCCCCGCTCCTGAGCCCGCACAGGTGTCAGCTATTGGGTAGAATATGCAAATGATTGGGTGACGTCAGGCAGCTCTGGTCCAAGCAGCAGAAATAGGGCAGGATTCAGCATTTACACCTCCTCGCTCCTGGATTGCGACTGACACCAGCGCCAAGATTGTGTTGTGATTTTTTTTTTTCAATTTTTTCCCCGGTCTTTCGTTTACTCCCCCTTGGTTTTTTCCTCCTTCAGGCTCCAGCCTTTCATGATTTCCTTCCCTCTCCCCCACAAGCGCTCCTGCAGACTTCTGTATCCTTCCTCCCCATAAGGAGATTTAAAAAAAACCAAACACACCAAAACTCTGACATCCTTTTCTTCTTCTTCCAGCTGCTACAGGCTTTAAACTGTGCTCACTCTCTGCCACGGGAATACTACAGGTAAGTGACATGATAGAAACCTCTGATTCCATGGGGCTGTGGGGGTAGGGGAGGGAGATGCATGAGCAGTATGCCCCCCAGGAAGGTTAATGTATCAGTGTTGTGGGGTTTTAAAACGATCTCCTGTTCCTTCCAGTGTCCAGCCATATGTAGGCTCGCAGGGGGCTTGCTGATCGCTGTGGTGTTAATTCAGAGTCCCTAATGATGCCTGGCAGAGTTTGCAACATTAACTTAGCGGATGGTAGCCTTGGTTGCACGGAGCAATTTCTGCTCCGGAATGCAGCGTAAGGGATGTGGTTGGGGGGGGGGGGGGGGGGGGGGAGCGGCAGTAAGGGGAAGGAGGAGCAGCTTTGGAGGTGCAATACTTTAACCCCCGTGCACCGGACCCTGGACCCCGAAGCCCAGGGCAGTCTCTGGAGGGGTGGGGGTGCAGTCCCAGGCTTGCTATCTCTCTCCGGTTTTCCGCGGAGCATTTCTTGGTGTGTGCATCGTACACTCGCAGGGCTTAGGGGAATAAGCACCAGAAGCGATGGGGAGAGAGGGATGAGCAGCCGCTATAGCATCTGACAGTTCATTTTTTGCAAAAGCTGCTTATCCTGCATCTTCCTATGGGTCTGTCCTTGCTCCTGTTCGTGTTTACAAGTTCGACTGTCTTACAAGTAACTGCAGAGGCAGCAAATCGGAGAGGAGCAGGGAACAGTGGTGGAGCCTCCGATGCAAGGGGGCCGTCAAAAATAGCCAGCTCGGAAGAGCTGGTTCTAACCACATCCTAGAGAAACGGAATTGCTCTGTCCCCTTCTCTCTTTCCTCACTCGCTGCCTGGCTCTCCTCTAGGGCTCAGGGCGCTCGGCTCACCCTCTTCATCTACTCAGCTGACCCTGATGGAAACCTGGGGTTAGCAGCAAGACTTTTTGTGAGGGCCCCAGAGAGCAGGGGACGGACCAGGCGGCAGCCCGGTTGCCTTGCCGTTTGTGGAGCGATGCAAAATTAATCGCGGGATCCTCTCGCCGCAAGCTAGCCGGGCTCGGAGAAAGCTGCCTGGGTCGGTTTCCCCACAGAACGCATCTATACGCAGTAGTTATAACAGCTGGCTGTCTAGAGACACTCTAAAGCCAGCAGCACTTCCACGGCTGGAACTGCGTTCTCAAATAACGTGCCGGTAGATTTCCAACTCCGAGAGCTATCCTAGCACCCTTCCTTGTTCGTTCTGGGGGCTGATCAAGGAGCTAGGAAATCTTGGCCATACACGTCCAGGTTCTCCCCCTCCTCCGCGCCCCATAAACAACCCAGCCTCCTGCATACATTTACACTTACACATTTACACACACACACACACACACCCCTAACTCAGTACCCTCTAATCCGGTCTCTCTTGAGTTACTTGTTAATGGACTCCTGAAATTATTGGAGAGTAGTTGGTGTGTGTGGTGTGGGTTTTTTTTGTCACTTGTTCCCCCTTCCCGTCCACACCAACCTTCCCCTTTTCCCCCCTTTTTGGCAGGGGATTTGGTTTCAGACGCTGTCTTGCTTTTGAGATAATCAGCAGTACTTAGCTTAATTATGGGAAGCCAGAGGCAGGCTGAATTCCACAGCACTGAACTGTATAGAAAGCTGACATCGGAGGGAAATCTTCCCCTGGGCTTCTGAAAGTGTATTTACACGTGTGTGTGTGTGTGTGTGTGTGTGTGTTTATTTACCTAGTTTGGAAATATTTCTCCTATTTTTAAAAGGCCACAACGCTCGCTTAAAAATGCAGCTTAAAGCCTCCTTGGTTATTAGATGCGATCAGGCTGGGGGGGGGGGCGTTTAGCGTTTGTGTGATGGTTTAGTTCACAGAATTCTTTAGGGTCGTGTCTCCAAATGTAACGTGGCACGCGGGGGAGGGAGGGCTCGCGGGAGGGAGTCCTGGGTTGTTCTGAAGTATTTCCCATCTCATTCAGGCTGCAGCGCAAAAGAAATATGAGCCACTTCCCAGGGCTCGGATTCTTTTTTTTTTAAAAACCTCTCCTTTGCTGAGCAAGAATCCCGGAAGGCTGCGTTTGTGTTTTGAAATGGGAGTGTGAGCTTGTTCCGTTCCCTGCAAAAATCCATGTGCGAAACAGCTGAACGACCATAGATCTCTCTCGACACCTCTTGATCTTCACGAAATAGATCTGATGGTGTTAGGGACCGGCGGGTTGAAGAGAAAACACAGCCGCCCTTTGGGCTTTTCTGAGGACAGGAGCTGTCCGCGGGCTGTGGTCCTGACATTTTCCCTTAAAGCTGCAGCTGCGTTTTTCCCCCCCGGTTTTTGGCCCCTAGGTGTCGCCTCGGTGGTGGTTCTGCCTTTTACCATTGTAACAAAATGGTTCTTTTAAAAAACTTGGAATTTACCAAAATCCACCCGTGCCCAGTTGAAGAATTCGTGACAACCCAGTCTCTCCCCGCCCCTCCCCTCTAACTCCACATTTCCTACACGGGATTCAGCTCCTTACTCCAACCGGAGCACACATTTAAGGGTAGAAAACAATCATCAGAGCGTAGTGTAGATGGGAAATTGCCCCATAGCTCGAAAGAGACACTGCTCCCTACCAAACTAAAGGGGATATTAATGATTATCTTCAGAGAAGCTAGGAAGATGAACGCGGAGATATGCATACTAATCAAGTTTTCCCCTTTAGATAAATGTAATTAGTACTGGGAATGGCTGGTGTGTGTGTGTGTGTGTGTGTGTGTGTATTTACAACCTGTTATCTTCCTATAGATCTGGGTTATTTAGCTCATGGTAGCACTCAAAATGTGCTAGGTGTTTTCCAAACATAGAGTAAGACCCCAGTCTCTGCCCTGAAAAGCATACAATTTGAAAAGGTAAATGGGAATAATAGCAAAGCACAACCCCCCCAGCCCCAAACCTTAAGATGGAGAAAACAATAGCTACCTGCTAGTCCGCGCCTGTGTGTTTAAAGTTAAACATACTCAGTTTTAGCTCTCTCAAGCTCTCTCTCTGTGACAGTGAGTGAATTTTTATAGATAGTTAAACTGATAAATGGTAGAGCAGGTGTTCTCAAACTGAGAGTCGGGGTCACAAGGTTATTACCTGGCAGGTCGTGAGCTGTCAGCCTCCACCCCAAGCCCCGCTTTGCCTCCAGCATTTCTAATGGTGTTAAGTATATTTAAAAAGTGTTTTTAAGTTATAAGGGGGGTTGCACTCAGAGGCTGCTATGTGAAAGGCGTCACTAGTACAAAAATTTGAGAACCACTGTGGTAGAGGAACCAACCAGAGTGAGAAGGCTTTTGGTTAAAAGTTTAGATATTTAAAAAAAAAATGGTGACTGGATCAAATGTGGTCAACCAACTAAAAAGATGTCACCAATCTTGAATCAACACAACTGGTCAATGAGAAGCAGTACTGCTCAAAGTTGACTCCCAGGAACTTTCTTAAACCTTGGGCCATAGTCTATTGCCCTTAACCAAGGTCAACATCTGTATAATGCAGCATACAAAGAGAAGAGGGACTGTGTGTTCAGAAAAGGGGCTACTTTCCCACCCAAAATAACAGTAGAATTGCACATCACTTCTCCAGCTGAGGATGACCTTGAACCTGTGATCTTTGCATTCATGATTTACCACCACTTACCCTGCAACTGACATTGAAGAATGCTGAGTTTGGTTCCTCTCCCACCTCGCCCTTTTAAAAGTCTTATTTATGGATTGTGCAAACAGCTTTCCAGGATTATTGACACTTATCTAGTCAGTCATGTGGGGGTAATGAAGTGATATTGTGGAAAAACACTTTCCTGAGCATAACCACAAAACAAACCATGGGACTAAACCTTGTGGAAAGATCACATCAGAGGTGATGTAACAGTTGAAGATGCAAACAGAAGGTCCAGTCCTGCAAGGTACTGAGGGACTCCTGAATGTCCTTCACTCCTGTTGATGTTAAAAAGACTTGAGGTTTTCAGAATCTCTCCAGTAGCATATAGTACCTTGCAAGAATGAGCTTTAGACAGCAATCAAAACAGCTCTCAGAGTATTCAGTTGTTATTTAAAATTTGTACAAATGCTCCCTGTCTTAACTAGGATGCGTGTCATAATTTTACATATTGCACTTGGTACCATTTAGGCATCTCATTCATCAAAATTGAAGTATTAATCAGAGATAGTGTAGATAATTAATTGGAAATGTAATTTAACGTCATTATGGTTTGCTGAAAGGTTACTTTAGAATGATTTTTTTCATGAGTACTTTCTTAGATTTAGTAGCATTTTACAAAAATGATAGGTATCAAAATGATTTTACAGGTCACAGAAACACTCACTAATTATATAATAAATCAAACCTTGAATCTTATACCGAAGGAACTAGGGGCCAGATTCTCAGCTGGTGTAAATGGATCCAAGTTATGACACCTAATTATTTGGCCCTAACATTTTCTCTTTATAATAACAGTCATAATTTTAGGAAGCTAAGATACAACTTTTTCTTTCTAATGTAGGTTTGGCTGAAAAAAGATTAGTATCTTACAATAGTTCTCATCTATCTATATCTTTAGAATGAGACTCAGCTTAAAAACCTGAAAACAGCTGCATTAAGAAAGGTCATTCTTAAGCTCTTATTTGTATTATAGCAGCACATCTGGGACCCTGTCATGATTCAGGGGCCCAATTGTGCCAGGCACTATCCAAATAAGGGATTCTTTATAATAACTAGAGTGGTTTTTCTTTTAATTATGCCAGATTTCTGCCACCCTTACGCTTTGTAAGTACTCATAGGGTAAAGCACTACTGTCCAGGAGTAAACATTTTAAAATCTTGCTCAGTGTGGGGGAAGGAACCCTAAATGAGATGTTTATATAGGTTTCATATTGCATCTTCAACTTAAATTATTAGGGCCAAACTTATCCCAGATGTAGTTGTACTGTAGCTAGTGCAGATACATCAAGCATGAATGTGCCCCCCACCCCCAAAATTCATCCATTCTTAAAACAAAATTAGATTTACTGAGTTTAATTTTAAATTATCTAATATCTTGGAATCATTTTCCCCTTGTTTGCACACAGGTTATGAAGAGTAGGTGTGTGACAGATTTTTCTTAGCTCTCAAGAGATTTCTAGTGTTCAGCCAAGCACTTTGTTCAGTAGTTGTTCTTTTTATACAGATCATCTTGCCTAGGCAAGTCCAGACTAAGAGACTTACATGGAGAAGGACTGCCCATGTGGGCTTATGTTTTATATATTTGTCTCCCAAATTAGGAGAAAAAACTAGTGGCACGTCACCAATGATGGGCCTGATCCAAAGCACATTGCAATCAATGGATGTCTTCCTACTGAATAAAATGAACTTTGGATCATCGTTTAATTTTAAATTTCATTGAGCATTATACAGCCATTTAAGATGCAGTGTTTGAGAATTAAGGGCCAGATCCTGCAAGGAGCAGAGCCGCTCTTATTTAACTATCTCAACCCTTAACTGAAGCAACTCCGTGCAAGACAATGCTGCTGAGCTCCTCCAAGGATTTGGTCCCAATTAAATTCCTAGCATCTGGGATTTATGACAAAATGGGAATTTTTGCTCAATTAAGGATCACAGAACTTGGCCCATATTTGTATTTCTGGCATCTGAATGAACTAACCCAGAGCACGCACAGATCTATACTGTGTATTAATATAAATGTCAGTATTATGAGTAAAACTAATTAAAATATTGCCAGGCAGTGTTGCTATAAATTGAATTGAGAAAGATACAAGTTGTTCAAATCACATTAAAATCTATTGGTGTTATTGGAAGGCGATTATTGTGCTGGTAGTTTTAATGTTGTTGTATGCAACTATTCTCACCTAATCCGAACAACTTAACATCATGTTTCCATGCAGTTAGTTACTAATTCTAACTGGGCACGGCTAGTTCTTTGATGTTTGAGCTCTGGAGTCATAACTTCAAACGGCAGATACGTCAGAAATCTCCAGAATTGCAAAATGAAGTTGTTCTATTTGTTGTGATTGTATCAACAAATGATACAAAATGCCTCTATAAAAACGTAGGAAATAGGACTGCGGTACCAGAGTGGTTTAGAATATAATATATTTGTAGCTTATTGATATAGTGGCTTTGGTTTATTACACATTTATTTATGGCTCTAATAGCATTACATCTGAGAGTTTCTAATTAAAATTTAGAAAGCCTAATAAATTCCGATTTCACCCTGATCTTTCAATTGATGGTGTTTAGAATAGTATTGAGGAATAGTGAGGACTTAAGTGCGCTGATGAGTGTGCAGAGCAACTGTAATTGGTGTTGGTTTTATTGACAGTACACATTCGGGCAGACAAAATATCTAAGACCAAATTCTGCCCTGGTGTACATGGGCATAAGCTTTGAAATCCATGATGTTAGATCAGGACCAGATATAGTCCTTTACTTGTTTTACAACATTTTTGTATCACTGACTTGCTATCTTTCAAGGGCCCTATTTACCCTGGTGTAACTCTATTGACTTCAATACGGTCACTTCTATTTACTCCTGGGCTTAATTTGGTGACTGCCATGTAACTTGATAATGTATGGGGTTCAGTCCTACCATAACCAGTATGCTTGCATCTTTCTATAGAATCTAGTCTAGCTTTCCCCTGAACCACAATATTGCAGGGTTGTGGTTTTTTTTTTTTTTTTTTTTTTTTTTATTCAAAACAAAGATTTTTTTTTTTTTTTCATCTTTTTTTTTTTTGAAGTTTTTTTTTTTTTTTTTTTAATTTGAATT